GCAAAGCAAGCCCACTGTCCTCAATTCCCACCCTTCGTGACTCCCCATCAGACTTCTGAGAATGTAAATGTTCACAGGAGAACACTGGCCAGCTCTCTCCTGCAGAGCAGCTGGGAGGTTCAAACTGGCTTTCTGCGGGCAGCCTGCTACAGTACACAGTGTGTCACCAGGGTGCCTTCGCACGATCTCTAGTAGTTTCCATATAGGTGGTCCAAGGACCATGCCGCTATCCTCCTGCCAAATGGGAAAAAAATCATTTTATGCTTATGACTGAAAATCCATTTATGATTTTTAAAAAACCAAACAAACCAAAAAACACAACCAAACAGCAACAACAAAAAGCCCTGCTTCTGAGTGGTTGAGCTCACGTGGCCACAGCCAGCACACAGGCTCAATTTTCCTGAAAGGGGAGGGAAGTGACAGCCCAGAGGGACCTCTTGTCCATGGCGGTGTTTGGGTCTGCGTGTCCCTCTTCCCTGAGCATCGTTACCTGCCTTCCTACGTCTACCTTTTTGGTCATTTCAGACTGACGCTATTGCAGCGAGCTAAGGCGGGAGTCGCCCCCTGTGTGACTCAGTCGGAAGCCCGTGAAAGGACCTGATGTTGTGCATCCAGGCAGCTGGCCCCTTTGGCCACAGTGAATCAGCTGCCCACTCTCCACAATGCTTCCTCGTCTCCACCCAGAGGGAAGCACTTGGGCTCAGCTGGACCAGGGCTGCTCCAAGTCCGGCTAATGGCTCTTCTGAGCTGTGTGTCATCTTTGACCCCATAGGTTTTCTTATGTCAGGAGACTGGTTCCTGAAGACGACGGGCTAGTGGCAGGCCAAAACCCTCAACAGAATTCTGGTTTAGGAGTGTCTGTCAGTCAACATGTTGCATTAGGAAGATCTGCTGTCAGGGACTTCTCCAAAGTGCTAAGAAGAAATAATGTCAGTTTAAAGACCAAAGTGCACCTGATTCAAGGTGCCATGGCCTTTTCAGTTACTTGCTATGCATCTACAAATTGGACTGTGATTAAGGATGACAGAGGAAGGATCCATGTGTTGAGCTGTGGTGTTGGAGAAGAGTACTGACTATCCCAACGGACTGTCAAAAGAACAAACATAGCTCTTTGAGAAAGTGCAAGGGTGGTGAAATTTTGTCTCACATACATTTTTGAGCATGTTGTTAGAAAGGGCTTGTCCTTAGAAAAGGACATTATGCTGGGAAAGGTGGGAGGTCATTGAAAGAGAGGAAGACCCTCAACCAGTGATTCAGCCAATGGGCTCAAGTGTATCAGAGTTAACGAGGATGGACCCTGGTGGGGCAGGGTCCAGAGCCCTTGCTCACAGGGTCACCATGAGTCATAGTTGACTCGACGGCACCTCGCAGCAACAATATCGGTTGACAGTTGAAGCCCCCCAGCTGCTCTCTGAGAAAGATGAGGCAGTCTGTTCCTGTTAAGATTCGCAGTTTTGGAAGCTTGGTAGGGGGTTGTTGTGGGCCAGAATGCGTTGATGGTATTAGGTTTACAGTCATGTAGCCACTGGAAGATGTAGAGCTCTTTTCATCAGTGGGTTTCCTGGTTTTAGTTTCTGAAGCACAGTGCTTAGAAGAGTTAACGCGTTGAACTGCTCATGGAAAGGTTGATGGGTTGAGTTCCCCCAGAGGCGCCATGAAAGAAAGGCCTGGCAATCTATGCACATATGAAGCAGCCATCTCAGACCCTAGGGGTCACAGCTCTGTCCTGACACACGGGGTCAGTGTGAGTTGAGATTCACCCAACCGCTACAGGAAAACAGGACTCAGAAGCAACAAGTCAGTGTTTGTCTTCAGGATGGATAGTGAAGAGATTGAGATTGTACACAACTTTAGTTTGCTTGGCTCCACAGTCAACACTCTTGGCACCAGTAGCCAGGAAATTAAAAGGCGTGTTGCCATGGGAAAGTCTGCTGTTAGGGACCTCTCCAAAATACTGAAGAGCAATGGTGTCTCTCTGGAGTCTAAGGTGCGGTTGATACAGGCCATGGTCTTCGCAATCACTTGTTATGCATCAGAGAGTCGGACAATGATCAAGGAGGATAGAAGGAGAATTGATGCCTTTGAGCTGTGGTGCTGGAGAAGAGTATTGAGAATACCATGGACTGCTAGGAAAACAAACAGATTTGTCCTGGAAAGGGTTAAACCGGGTGGCTCCTTGGAGGCAAGGATTCTGAGGCTCTGTCTAACATACTTTGGACATGTTGTGAGGAGAGACCGGTCCTTGGAGAGGGACATCATGCTTGGGAGGGTAGAGGGACGGCGCAGGAGGGGAAGGCCCTCTATGAGATGGATTGATTCAGTGACTGGGATAATCGGGATGGGAGTGTCAGGGACAGTGCAATTGGCACAGGACAGAGCGGAGTTTAGGGCTGTTGTACATAGGGTCGCTATGAGTCGCAAGCGACTCTCGACGGCACATACAACAACAACAACAACAACACGAACCAGGCTCACAGCACCTGCCAGTGGGGGAGACGTTCCAGGTGCCAGGTTGCCAAGGCCTGTCTCTCAGACCAGAGGTCTGTCTTAGACCACAGGATGTCCACTCCTTCAGGTGGGCAGGAAGGAACATTAGTCTTGAAGCAGTGCCAGCCCTCATGGGCACAAGAGCACTGTCAGACTAAGGGGAGGGAAGGCTGAGCTTCTGATCCTAAAATTAGTTTTAAAAACCTATTTCATCTTCCATTTTCTTCTTTTTTTCCTGCTTTTGTCATTAGTGCTGCCCCCACACAAACACGTGCTTCCCCAGACACACACCCATGTGAAAGCATGCATGCTAAACACACACACACACACTCACACTCTCTAAGGACTTTAAACACGGACCTTTCAGATATGGGGTGGGGCAGCCAGTTGATAAGGCCAAGGGGTACACTGCCCATTGTCATGGTTACTGGACACATGGTTACACGGCCCCCAGCTGGCCACAGAACAGGGCCTTTCAGATGCTCCTAATACTCCCCACCACCGCCCCCCCCCAGCCTCTGAGAGAAAGAGGGGCCTTTGGACAGGTTGCCCAGAGCCCAACCCCGGCTGACCCAGCTGTTCTCACAGCTTTGAAACCTGTTCACCTGCCTCCTGGTCTCGGCCCCCCCGCGAAGGACCCAGAGCCCCCATTAGCTTGCTGCAGACCTGGGCCCCCATGCCTCCTCCCTCCAGAGGTCTGGATGATGACGACACTGAGGTGTCTGTGTCACCTTGCAGATTCTGATAGAAAGACCACAGCTGTCACCTGACTCCAAGCAGCCTCCTTTCTCCTGCAGAAGCATTTTATGTTCACTCCCCCCACCCCCGTTTCTCTACCTCGCTCGCTCTCTTTCTCCCCTTTTCCCATCCATCTGCCATCAAATTAGTTGTGCCCTTTCCAATGTCCACAGGGGAAATGAATGTCTCTTGGCCCCAGAGTTTTCAGAAAGGCTGGAAGGAGAATGGAATAGCTCAGAAATGAAGGCAGGACAGAGGTGATCCTCAGCGTAAATTGCTCGGAATTGCCATTTTAGCATCAGCACACGTGGTCTGGGACCTCAGGCCGCAAGATCTCAGAGGCCGGTGGAGTTGGGGCAAGGAGCTGAAGACACTGCCAGTGATCCTGGGTGCGGCTGGGCCTGCCAGGACCACTTCACCTTCATGGTCGGGTCTGGGAACCAGGAGGTTTAAGAAGCTTCTGGGTGATCCCAACGTCTAGCCAAGTGTGAGAACACTCAGGGGACAGAGATTTCAAACCTTGAGAGGGGTGGTGACCATCTATTCCTCTCGGGCCCAGAAATACCATTTAGTAGAATGAAAGAAGGGGCAACCTAACCAGTCTTTCAGGAGCCTCATGGTACAAAGGTTAAAGCGCTCAGTGGCTAACCTACAGTTTGGCAGTTTGAATCCTCCTCTCACTCCGCGGGGCAGAGATGTGGTGCCCTGCTCTTGTAAAGATGGAGAGCCGTGGAACCCTCCGGCACAGGCCTCTGTCCTGCAGGTTGTGTGGGCCAGAATTGACCTGATGGTAGTGGGTTTGGTTGCGGTGAACCTGCCTGTCTTTTGCCAAATACAACAGGACTTTCATTCCATTTCACTCAGTGTTGTTGTCATGTGCCATTTAATTGCCTGTGACCAATAGTGACTTTGTGCACGATAGGTCTGTACCCTGCCCTGTCCTGAACCCGTCTCACTGACTCCGACACACTTGCCTCTATGACCACAGTCATAGTGTCAGTCCGTCTCATCCAGGGTCTTCCTCTCCTGCGCTGTCACTCCACCCTCCCAAGCATGATGTGCTCCTCCAATGACTAGTCCCTCTTGGCCACGTGCTCTAAGTATGTGAGACAGAGCTTCAAAATCCTTACCTCCAGAGAGCAAATTGGTTTTCCCCCTCCAGAACAGACCTGTTTGTTCTCTTGGCAGTCCATGGAATGTTTAATACTCTTTTCCAGCACCACAACTCAAAGGCATCAATTCTTCTGTCATCCTTAGTCATTGTCCAGCTCTCTGATGGATAGCAAGTAACTGCAAAAAACCAAGGCCTGGATCAGGCACACCTTAGTCTCTAGACTGGCATCATTGCTCTTCAGCACTCTAACGAGATCCCTGACAGCAGACTTTCCTAATCCAGTTCATCCTTTGATTTTCTGGCCACTGGTGCCAAGAATATTGGTTGTGGACCTAAGCAAGCTGAAATTGTTAACAATCTTAATCTCGTCTCCAGAAAATGAGACTACTTTGTTACCACATAAAGGTTAGTCCACAACCAGACCTTAAAAGCCTCCTCTCTAGTGAACTTTCACAGAGGTGATGAAAAAGTCCCCGTTTCTACATTCTCTTCACACCTGTTCTCCACCTTGCTCCTCAGGAAAGGAGAAAGTTTTTGCTCTGTCTCCTCAGCAGAAGGCTGCTGATGTCATTTGTTGTTTGCCGCGTCGTGATTGGGGGGTATTCACCAAAGGCAGACGGTGGGGCTGACCTCTCCATCTCTGTGTTTTCTCTAGTACAAAATTGGACAGCTGTACATGATCAGCAAACACAGCCATGAACAGAGTGACCGAGGAGAGGGGGTGGAGGTCGTCCAGAACGAACCCTTCGAGGACCCTCACCATGGCAACGGCCAGTTCACCGAGAAGCGGGTGTATCTCAACAGGTAAGGGCCGCTGGCCAGACATGCAACCATGGGTCTTTCTCACCATCCAGGGGCCCCTCACCCCTTACCCCTGACTTGACCTTGAAAGAAGGCGGGATTGACATGGAGGAAGTGAATGTCTGGGATAGCAAGGTGACATGGGAAATCATTGCTCCCGTCCATGTAGCTGAGTCACACAACCGAATCCCCAGTGTTCTACTATATTGTCTTCAGCTGCATTTTTCTCAGAGGTCCTACCTTCTGACTTATCTCAGCCCTTTAATGTCATGTCAAGATGGGGTCTGAGCCTGAGTATCCAGGGCATTGCCTTTTCCCTTTGACTGGGGCCAGCAGTCAGGAAGAAATGGCTGCCTCTATGACTTACAGAGAAGCACTCACTTAGGCAGTGGTCTGTGGGTCTTAGTAAGATTTCCACTTGCAACCCCATAACCACCCAGCTCTCTGCATGGGGAACTGGCAAAATGAACCTGTGTGACCAAAATGCTATGTGCTGGCTAACATGACTTCCTGAGAACCTGGTGGCCTAGTGGGTAGGGAGTTGCATTCCCAACCTTAAGGTGGCTGGTTCAAATCCACCTTGGGGAAAAAGATGGGCCGTCTCCTACTGTGCCATTTACAGCCACTGAAAACCCGCCCGAGGGTCAGCAATGTCTTGGTTCTAATTTGACTCAACGGTACACAGCAAACAACAACAAGCTGAAGTTGAGCCTCTCCGGCAGCTCCACCAGCAGCTCCGAGGAAGAAAGATGAGAAATCTCCCATGCAATTTATAGCCTCAGAAACTCACTAGAGAGCCAAATACGAGTCAGTTCCTACTCGACAGCAATGAGACAGAGAGGGGCGAATATTGGCTGTATCATGGGCTGAAGAAAGAACCATCTGTCTTAGAAGAAGGAGAGCCAAAGTGTTCCTGGGGGCAAGGAGAGTGAGACTTCATCTCACATTCTTTGGACATGTTTTCAGACAGGCTACTCCTTGGGCAAGGACGTCATGCTTGGAAAAGTGGAGGGGCAGTGAAAGAGAGGAAGCCCCTCAATGAGATGGATTTTTGACTCTGACTACGACACTGGACTTAGGTACAGGAGAGATTGCGAGGATGGCACTGGATAGAGCAGAATCAGTTGTTGTGTGGTACCATCAAATTGATGTTGACACACAGCCGTCCGGGTGAAGAAGCGGATTGTCTCCATAGTGTTTTCTAGGCTGTAATCTTTACAGGCGCAAGTTTCTTGGGCTATCACCGACTGGGTTTTGGCTAACAGCTGAGATATAGATGAGATAGACGAGATAGATATGAGAGAGAGAGAGATACATAGATAGATACATAGATGGATACATAGATAGATAATAAATTTGTTGTTGTTAAGTAATGTCAAGTCACCTGTGACTCATAGTGACCCTATGTACAACAACTCTGAAGCCTGCCCTTCCTGAGCCAGTCTCACTGACTCCAGCACACCTAATCCCACTGCCCCAGTTATTATGTCAATCCATCTCATCCAAGGTCTTCCTCTCCTACGTTGTCCCTCCATCCTTCCAAGCACGATGTCCTTCTCCAAGTACTGGTCCCTCCTGGCCATGTGCCCAAAGTATTTGAGACAGAGCTTTAAAATCCTAGCCTCGAAGGAAAAACTTGGTTTCACCCTCTCCACGACAGACCCATTTGTTTTCTTGGCAGACCATGGTATGTTCAATATTCTTCTTCAGCACCACAACTTAAAGGAACTGATTCTTCTTCTGTTATCCTTAGTCATTGTCTAGCTCACTAAAGGGGTAGCTTGTTGTTGTTATGTGCCGTCGAGTCGTTTGCGACTCATAGCGACCCTGTGTACAACAGCCCTAAATCCTGCTCTGTCCTGTGCCAATCTCATTGCCTCTGACACACCCATCCCGATTACCCCAGCAGGCAATTACAAAGACCATGGCCTGGATCTGGCACATCTTAGTCTCTAGACTGATATCATTGCTCTCAGTTACCTTGGGGAGGTCCCTGACATCAGAATTCCCAAATGCAATTTATCTTTTGATTTCCACTTTTCGTGCCAAGAATGTTGATTGTGGAGTTGAGCAAGCTGAAATTGTTAGCAGCCTCCATCTGTTCTCCATCCATCATGGTGCTGCCAGTTGGCCCAGTGGTGAGAATCTTTGTCTTACTGATGTTGAGCTTCAGTCCACATTACACACTACAGTTTTGACTTTCTGCAGCAAATACTTCAGGTCCTCGTTAGTTTAGGCATGCAGGGTTGTGTTCTCTGCATAATGCAGGTTATTGATGAGTTTTCCTCCAATCCTGATGTCACACTCCTCCTCATAAAGTCCAGCCTCTCAGATGATCTGTTCTGCATACAGATTGAAAAGGTATGGAGCCAGGCTGCATCCCTGACTTGCTCCTTTCCTGATTTTGAACCATACAGTGTTTCCTTGCTCTGTTCGGATGACTGCCTCCTGGTCCAAGTGTAGTTTTTGCATGAGCACAATCAAGTGTTCTGGGATTCGCATTCTTCTCAAGGTTAGCCTTGATGTTGTTGTTGTTATGTGCTGTTGAGTCACCTGCGACTCATAATGACCCATGTACAACACCCCTAAGCTCTCCAACACACCTATCCCCAATTCCCCAGTGACAGATTCAGTCCATCTCATCAAGGATCTTCCTCTCCTGCGCTGTCCCTCGTCTCCCTCCAACACTTTCATCTATGACCAGAATTTAGCTATCAGGTTTTATATTATTTATGTAAATTTTATTATATGTATCTTTCTCTGCATACTTCACCCCTACCTGTGACCCTGCATTTTGATTCATAGGTGATAATTGAGAGAGCATTTCTAACACCCTTGCAGAGTCTTCTATGTCTTCACTATCACTTGAGAATATCTGTCCATTCTTAATGCCCTGTACAGGTTCAGATGCTTCTGAGAAGAGCTGTATTGGATTCCACTGTAAGTCAGTGGAATCCAGACTTTTGTGGGCTGAAGTGGATTATTCCTTCCAATCAGAGAGTTTGAGTCCTCTCGTGAGCATAACGGACATCTCCCCAGCCAGTATCCTGACAGTGAAAGTCAGAGACTGATTAAAGCAAGGCTTTTTAATTTGCCCAGGGATGCAGCACCAGGGAATTCCTGAGTCATGATGAAATGCAAATGAGATCGATCCCATTCATCTATTCGTAGCTGTGAATTCCCAGGATCTGGAACCAGTTCATCCCCCAGCCAGCTGTTGGTTTGCCAGGATTGCTGAGCTCAGTCTGGTCTGGGAATGCCTTCTTTCCAGAAGCACATTTCTCAATATTCTTAGTGCAAAGGACGTGAATCAAGTACGAGCAGGTTTCTCCATAGAGAGCGCCTCTGCAGAGCAGAAAGGAGTGGGGAAGACGGAGGGGAACGGATACAAAGCTCTGGAAAATTCCATTTCTTGGTAGATGATTCCCCGTCTCCCGAGTTTACTGCCTGGAGAATGTTCCCTTTGTACCAAAGTCAAGAAAAAAAATTAGAAAACTTTTCAACATTTGCTGCAGTCAGGCACCATCCAGCTGCTTCCCTCATATCTGTTTTTTCTATTAAAAGATATAATATTTATTTTAAAAGCAAATAATAAACATTAGCAAGAGGGGAATTTGTTATAAATAGAATATCTGGACTTCCAGTAACAGTAAGTAAAAATGATTAATGTCGACCCTTCCTCCATTTCCTATGACAAACACAAGATGAAATATAACAATATATAGTCGAGGTTAAAACATGGAAAGGGAAATCCTCAGATCCTAGAAATAAAGAGGGGTCTCAGCCAGAATGGATAGGAGTGGAGCAAATACTACGGAGGCCAGGAGGATATCAGGACCGAAAGAAAGCTCTCACGTCCAGGGGCTGCAGATGTCCATGCCCACCAAGGATTGAAGTCACACAAACAGGAAGCAGGAACCGAGAGATGAATGGGACCTTCTAAGACTCAAATTCCTATGCACATCCAAAAACTTCTCCAGTAGGGTAAAAAGGGAAGCCACTGACTGGGAAAAAGTATTCGGTAATACCATATC